AGTTAGTCTTTTCTGTTTATCCTAAACAGAAGGGATCCATGTGCACATGCTTATTTTGATACGTTAATGCATAATAAATTTAATATAGGGAAATATATCTTTTTATTAGTCTTCTCTTTTCAAAAGAATGGACCTTTTTTCTCACAAATGACCCTGTCTCCAGTCCACCATGTGTCCTTCCTTAGACACTGTTGGTAGCTACTAACCACTACAGACCAACAACACCCACCAAGACCTGCAGACTGGGAGATGCTCTGACCCATCTCACCATCACAGTCTGGCCCCTGTCAAAGCCACTCACATCCTTACACTGCCTGCTTTTCCTGCTTCCAACGCATCAACTTTGAGGACTGAATGTTCACTTCCTGCGTAATACACCCCCCACACTGACAGGTGTCACTGTAACAGATAGTCAGTGTTATTCACCTCACCTGTCAGTGGTCATAATGTTATGGCTGATTGGTGGATATGCAAACAGCTAGGGGCTGCCTCACCAAAACCATGTGGTCTGTGTGCATAAGGTGCGCGCATTTTTGTGTAAATACATACCAGCTCATGGAGGGTGGGGTCACCTCATTCGAGGGAGAAGGCTCTGCACTGTATGTGTGGGTATTTTCCACTAACGCTTGCGTCTGACAACACTTGGTTTTGGGTAAACATGTCAACTCAGCACGGAGCAGCTGTGGGTGCGCTGTTCTGGTTAATTACACGTGATGTGCTGGACGACCCTGGAGCAAACCGGGCCCTCCAACAGGCAGGTGACTGAACTGACCAAACAAATAAACAATACCCACAAACTGAAACGTGACACAGCCAGATTCACCAAACCACGATCAAAACCGTAAATGTCAACAAAGAAACGCAACTACTTTTACAGGTAAAGACAAAGTTTGTCTGTGAACTTGGTAAACCTGAAACGTAACAGGGAATCACTGACCAGCAGGAAACCCGCTGGATGCACGCAGCCTCCTGACTGCTGATTGAATAGGTGTGTGGAACGGGGCAAGCGGAAGTGTGTCAAAATAAAAGCATGGAACAGGAAGTCCCTGCAGCCGTGACTATCAGTATTTTCAGCCCCTCTAGTCTCTTAATTCTTCTGACAACGCACAAACCTCATCGTCAGTGGCGTCTTTAACCGGAGTCACTGGCTCCAACGTGTCTTCCACACTTCATTTTCCCTTTATTATGCTAAAAAGAAAATAGGAAACGAGCTTTTACCAAGTCTGTAACTGTGGGTCAATATTTCTGAAAACATCTCTAACAATAGCAGGAGACATAATTTTCACAGACCAGCTGGTTTCAATGCTTGAGACTTTTATTTTTTCACAAGACAAGAATAAAGAGTTCACACTACAGAGTAAAGTTGAGCTGACTTTCTTCCCATAGCAGCTCGGTCTGCTCTTCACCTGCAGTAAGAGGCAGACCAGCTCCTGTTTACTTGTTGCTTCCTTCCCTAAGTGGAGTTACAGAGATAGAACAGAAATAATGAGTATTTAGCAGAGTACAGCCGAGACTGCTGGCACAGACACATCCTCCAGTGCTCATGGTTCTGGCTGGTGTTGCAGCTTGTGACCCCTCAGGGCTTTTTGGCACAAACAAATGGGCGATCTATGGTGCAACTCACGTCATCCCAGCAGTTGTCAGCTGTAGGTACCAAAGGCACAGGATGTATTATACAGTCTACGATGCATCATATGTGACGCCCTCAGTGAAAGCAGCATGTCATGAGTTACCTCCATAGTTCATCTGTAAGCAGTGCTGCTGGCCCTTGTAGTTATTGAACCCTCCACAGTGTCGATAGTTGAAAGGTGTCCCGTCGCTCCACAGCCAAATGCCCTCCTAGACGACACAGAGAAATACTGGGTTAATAAAATCATTTAATAACTTACAGGCCCTGTGTGCTGATAAATATACCTGTGGTGCATCCGTGCCTCCGAGCCATGCTTCTCTGTATGCGTGAGTGACTGTCACTACCATCTTCTGAATCTCGTGGTACTCATCAGCGCTGTGGACTGACGCAAGGTTCGCACCCATGGACTGACAGTTTCTCTACAGTGGAGACAACAAAGCAACAGCACCATCAGCGCTGTGGACTGATGCCAGAAGTTAAACTGAACCCAGATCGCTGTGATACCTCAGCCCGAGCCCACGTCATGGCAGTTGGAACGTAGCGGAAGCAGCGACCTTTGTACCCTGTCCAACCGCTGGGACAGTAGGTCTGTCTCTTCCCCACAAGGATCCTGTCTGAAGATCAGTTTGGAACAGAAACAGGGCAAATGTGTCTGGGATTCACTTACACAAATGTGGCTGTAACTACAAGTGATGTGCTGATGTTTAGTCGATTGTATCTGGTTGCCAAGTGGCCCTGAACATAAAGTTCATCTGAGGCTCATGGGAAGGTTGTTGTTTTGCAGGTCTGGTCATAAACCAAAGTACCTGTATGAGTGGCAACGTCCAGAAGCCACCTGCATGTGTTTTAAAATTGATTTTTTATTAAGAATCTAGAACAAAACAGCCAACTGACCTTGTTGAATCACAGGTGCAATCTCATTTCCAGCCTCTGCTTCTGGGCGAGCTGGACAGTGTGGGGCACATGTTAGTGACTTGTCTCATGCATAAGATGTCATGAAACAGACATCTGTCATATGTGTAACAAGATTTCTGGGTTGCAAGCGAGAGCAGACGTCTTTACTGCTCCTCTTGACTGTTCTACACTTCAAGTCCTTGAACATACTTTACAACTACTAAATGCCTCAAAGAGGGAAAAGAACTAATAAATCAGGAACGACTGAGGATATGGAGGAAGAAGAAATACAGCACAAAGAGGCGCAAAAAACGGAACAGATGTACATCGCGCTGATGGACCAACAACGTGAAAGCTTCGGAGGGCCCCGTCTCCAGCCGACAGAGTACAAGAACATCCGACCTGCGAATACCTGTGTGTGTCCTCGGCGTGTGGAGATGTGTGGAGATGCAGAGGCAGGAGAAGCACCCGCTCTTATATACGCCAGGTTATCACATTGGCTGTCTTAAACAAACACTCCAACCATCTCCACCTCGGCGCTTGGTGGGTTATAAAGTATAATGTAATTCTCCAAGTACAGCAAAAGGAGTCGTCAGATGTTCTACACACAGCAGATGTTTTCTGGTGTTGTTTACTTGGAAGGCGAATGCTACTGGGCAGTGACAGACTCAAGGTGACAGCTGACACCTGCCAGTCAGAGGAGAGGACGGAAGAAAGGAGAAGCCATATTAGGCAGTAAATAACCATGTCCCATCACACAGCTTAGTTTGTTGCAGCTATTAAAGCCATAAATCGGCTGCTGTGTACGTGTGCCTCGGTTTTCCAGGAGCTCTAGTCTAGTGTAAGTGTCACAGAGCACATTATGAGCAGCGATCGCTGAGATAACACGACTAGCAGGCACCATCAGTTTAATCTTTATCCATCCAGAATCACAGTGACTGAGCACTAGTGTTGATCAGCACCCTGCTCAGTGTTACAACTTCCAAGATCCTGTTCTCATGTCTCCTCAGCAAATCAACTAAATATTGTCTGAAGAGGAAATGTTAACTGCTGTTTTATCAGGTCACGTCACAGCTGCTCTAACAGGCACCTGGACAGTTTGGATAGAAACCCTCATGTGACAAAAACAAGCTCGTCACCTGCAGTGGAATCATAAGAATGTGTTTGATCAACTGTATCAGAAGGTTTAACAACAGACTGATCCCAAACAGAAGAGAGCAGGTCTAGAAGATTTCTCAGTCCTGAATGAGGAGCAAAACCAGCAGCAAAAGGAAAGTTTGTAAAATGTGGCATTAGTGATTTATTATACCCAGAGAGCTTCTCTTCCATTTACAACACTGGATCATTCTGTGGGGTAGACTTCCATCACAGTAGGAGCTGAACACCATCAGGTGCCTGACACCGTTACATGCGTCGCTGTATAAATGAACAGAACATTATGGTCAATGTAAAATCCTCTCGACCATAAGAATGTCAGCAACAACCATGGATGGATTACTGAACAGGTCTCAGGCCGGAGCAGGCAAGGTGCCAACGAGGAGACGAAAATGATCCAAAAAGAGGCCAAAGAGCCACAAACAGACACAGAACAACTGCAAAGAGGCCGCAAAGGATGC